TAGAGGGAGAATGATGAGATTTTGCAAGCAAGCTCAAAGGAGTCTGAACAGAAGACTGCAGAACTACATGTCTCCTGAAATGGAAATATGCATAAAAAGCCTATTGTTTGCCTGGATGTGCTGGATTCTGCTTTTCATCAAATAATCTAAATGTAGCTAAATAATTCACTGTGTAAAAAAAAGCCAACAAAATTGACCCAATATCCTTCTCTTTTTCCTTTGGCAGATTTTCCTACATAGGTCTGGCTGTTAATAGGGGTTTCCATTCATGCTCACAATGTTTTCCATAGCATGGCATCTCAGTAAAGTGGAAGGCATATGACAATTTGGCTTTCTGGCTACGGCATGCCAGCATGGCATCCCTCAATCAAAAGCATTGAGTGACATGCCTTTCTTGCACTGCTGGGCATGCAATGTGCCACATGTCAAAAAATATTGCTGCCCCTTCCCTATTTTGTATTATCAGATTCCTTTATGTTGTCTTGTTTTCTTCCACAAGCTATTAAATCTAATGGAAGATATTTTATTTTTAGACTGGCCACAAGGACTGCGTAAATGCTTTTGCTTATTTAACAATGTGCTCATCACGGGCACGCTCTGTGCTCCGTCTGGTAAAGTCCTTTGCATGAAATCACCCACGGGAAATAGCCCTAAGCACAGTGGAACCTGGAAAGCTTATCTTCGAGCAGGGGAACTCTTGAATTACATCCTGCTGGCATATTTACTTGCGTGAGTCCCCTTACAGTCAGCCAGTTCTAGCTGTCACTCTGGCCTCTGGATACTGCTGGAAAGTGGTATTCTGAGGTGGAACAGAACTTTGATTGTTCTAGTTATGTATTAGCCAATCCAAACAGCTGGTGAGGTCCAGAGCTGGAGAGTAACATTTCTCCTATGTATGCATCCTGTGCCCTGGGTAAAGCCACTTTCCAGACTCTGAGCCATTTTCCAGACTGCTTATTCTTCTCTTCCTAACCCAAACAAAGTGGCTTTGACTTCAGGCAAGGTATTCCATATGTGAAATGAACTCGATTATGTCTTTGTTTGCTGGGCAGAAGCAAACACTACATCTGAATTGCAAATCCCTCAGAAAGTGCCCTATTGTTAAAGCATGTTAATTAGTACTGGGCCTCTATTTCCATATTTCATTTAGGAGACAAAAGAGGATAAAAGTCCTCTTTTGGATGAACACTGCCTGCTTTCTCAGGTATCAAACAGGACTACTATGTTTTATTTATTCAGACACACGTTTCGAAGTAGACTGTGGTCTTGTGATTGGGTATCAGCTTCACACAAGGGTATGTCTACAGCTACTGATTGAAGCAAATAGTTTTACTTCTGGTCACCTCATCCCACTGTATTTTTCTTATGTTAAAGGAAGATTTGCTGCAGGTACTTGTCTACTTTGACTGTGCAATTTTATTATTGCAACAGAGAAGTTTGACACAAAGATTGCTACTGGAATTGGATTTTAGTACTTTTTGATATTACGTATTTACAGATAATGTGGTGATTGATAAGAAGCTGTCTGGCAACTATCTGTCAAAGCTAAAATATAATCAGCATTCTTTAATCACTTTCCATTCTATGTCACTTTATACTTGACAACATCCTCACATTAAATGTGCTGTATTCCAGGATGATTCTATATGGACAGTTTAAGAGAAGCCAGGTTTAGAGGTTTAGCATTTATTCAGCCTGTACTTGCGCTTCATCTTGCAGTCTCCAGTTGATGCTGAAATCACTTCTACCTCAAAGAACAAAATCAGAACACTTGGAACAAATGTACAGCTTTGCTTCTGCAAGTAAAATCACAAATAATCACAAATGTTTTTATTAGTACTATTTAGATGGAACCACTAATGCTGCTGATGAAATCTGCCATTTGCTTTGGTCACATTGATTCAGTTCCCTGATCTTCTTACTTTCCCTTTCCTGGTTTCTCAAATCTTTATGTTTTTGATAAAAGAAATATCAAGTTGCTATGTCTTATATTGTTGCCACTGGGTACTAATGCACAGGGTTGTTCTTGACCAAGTGCAACCTTCTTATTAAAGCTCAAAACAAGGGAACTGCACTGGATTTCCTGCTATTTTGCAGTTTCCTTTGTCTTCACATGTAAGAGGCTTCAGCTGAGATTCTTACGAGTGCCTAAGAGTTGCAGGAATACTTTTATGGCTGAAATCCTTTTTTACCCCAAATCTCCACCTAAAGAATGGATATAGTGTATTTTCTTTTCAGAACATGCTGTGAAAATACTTCCATTACTGTCATACTGAAGATGAGGCACTGCAGTCAAGTTTGCAGAAATCCTGATGTTTTTCAACAGTGATACAGGTTGATCTAAGTTTTGCTATTTCAGAGGCTTGTTGGCTCTCTAACTATATCAAAGGTTTAGAAAAAAGAAACAAATTACTGCAATGCAGGTTTGAATGCACTAGAAACTACTGCTCTTCTTGCTTGTACAGAGTTGTGAGCTTTTCTTAATTATAGGGGCCTTATGTGACAGAAGCATTTACTTCCTAGAGAAAATGATGTTACGCCAACTAGATGATAATGCATTTCTGTGCCAATATTGGATAAATACAAAAGTAAGGTCCTAAGGGATGCAAAAAGCATTTTAATGTGATTACCTTTTAATACGGATAAAACTCCTACATATTCTTTTTGTTCTGCCTTTGATGATGAAAGCAAAAGGAAAAGAGTAACAACACAAAGTCAGTGAAACACTGTGTTATGACTCAGTGTCTGGGGTTGACTCCAAGAACCCACACTGCTGATCCTACTATTTGTCACTTACATGTGTAAGTCAGCACCTTACATGTGCTGAAGCTGACTTGCTCTTGTGGGTACAACAGGACTAGATCACTGGAAAATTTAAATGTGAAGACTTTTGCTGTTACCATAGGTTTCCTTAACAGCAGATTTTGTAAAATCTCATGTAGGACAATGAAATGAAACGCTAGGGAAGCACTGACATGCCCCTTTTTCTGCGTCATACAAATCATGTTGCTTAGCTCTATGGATGGGCCTAATAAGCACTCCTTGTGTGTGCATGAAGTTGACTAAAATTCTCTCTGAGCCTATAATAATCAAGCCTACTGAAACTGTCTCTTTATACAGAAAGAAAATAAGCTGCTCCAATTAGAATTTCATGAGCTCACAAATGTTTCTCTCTACCAAGATAAAGTAGAAACCATTTGAAAAGGATTAAAGTCTAAGCTTTCTGAATTAAAATTGCAACAGGTGTCAACTTTACATGCCTGTCCTTGCAAACAAATGTGACATTACATTGATGACAGAGTAAAAGATTATATTTTCTTTTGCTTCAGAGTTCTTTTTTTTCTTTTGAAGTGAAAAGATGATATGATTTTCCACACCACTGTTTATAACTAACTTTCTATCATTTCCTTTTTTTTCTTTTTTCTTTTTTCTTTTTTTTGTCTAAGGAAGATAGGAGGAACTACATTTTTTAAAAGTCACATCAATAACGAGCACATCTTTTATCTTTAAAGGTGCTGGCAGGCATACTTCTTTCAATACTGTATAAGTATCTAAGATTTCATGAGTTTCAACCTATATTCTCTATATAAAGATGTATAGAGAATATATAAAAAAACTTTTAATATAGAGCCCTATATAAATCAGAAGCAGATTCCTAAGTGAGAGATCTTGTCCTAGCTTTCTGTCAAAAAGTGGGTATCTACTTACGACTAATCTCAGAGTAAGAAGAGTTTACTGATCAAGTTTGAAAAATCATTGTAGTGTAATTGAACAAAGTCCAAATTCAGTTATTTATTAGCCTAGCAATGGTAAGTAAACCATATGTGGAACATTTATCCTCAAGACGTTTGTGGGATGCAAAATATGATCAAATTAACCTTATCCTCTGTAAATTGGACCTTCTCAAGCTTTTCCCTGTACCCCGTCATTTCAAGTAGTTTTCAACTTGTGCAGTCTCTAAGGCACAGTTTTAAGTTCAATCTACTTTCCAGTACCGATGGGCACACAATCAACCTCACTGCAATTATTGCTGGGAATCTCTATGGTTTGCAAGACCTCTTGGCAGACTCTCAAGCCTTTAACTTGAGAGATGCAGTTTGAGGCAGCATTTAGCTTGAGATAGATAGTGATTGCAATAGTGATAACATGGACTGCCAAAGTCATGGGAGATTGTAGCGAAGGTGGCATTTGAAAGAAAAGCTTTGACATTCAACAGAAATGCAGGAAGAAAGCCAACTATCACCACTGTGATCATTAACTCTCCATCATTTGGAAAACAGCTGTTTTCCTAACCAAAATACCAATTGCTAAGTTGCTTGACGTGACAAATGCTTTCTGTAGAGGCTGAAATACCTGGCTGTGGCTGTTTCCTCCAACACCTGGCCATGTTCTACAATAGATTCAGACTGAATTTCAGCAGTTCAGCCTCAAACGCACTCCTTATTGCTAGATGTTAGCAGATGACACAGCTGCAGGGAATGGAGGATCCATGTTCTGTGCTGCAGCCTTTGGCAGAATGCAGGATGAATGGTCAGCAAGTGTGTGTGGTTTTGTACTCATCCAGTGCAAAGCTCCTTCCGTACATGAGAAGCAAGTGGAAAAAAGCAAATGGGATTTGACCAAACAGGAAGGAATGGACTTATTTTGTAAGCAACAGAGGCTGACTTTGCATAGCAACATGATTTTGCATTCCGAGACATTTCTCAGACAGCTACAACGTCTTTTGTAGCCGCTGACAGAAAAGTATTTGCAATAACCACTTGAGACAGAACTCTGAAGCCTGCCCAGCCTCATCCACGTGCATTTCCAACCACTGGCGCTGCCCTCAAACAGGGGAAAATATTCCGCGGGGCAGGGCACGCTGTGAGGGAGAGGACAAAAGGCTGCGTTCCACATCCATCCCTCTGTTCGGAGCTGCGAGAGGAAGGGAACGACCCCGGGAAAGCCGACTCGCCCCTGCCCGCCCCCAGCCCTGCCCTCCTCGCAGCCTCCTACCGCCCCCAGCCCACTCCAGCCCACCTCTCAGGGCGGGACGTGGGGCGGCGGCGGGCCATAAAAAGCTTCTGGGGAGAAAGAGACGGGAGCGCCGTGTCGCTGGAGCCGCGGGGGTGAGGGGCGGGACGGGCAGCGGCAGCATGGCTCAGTCCGTGTGGGGCTACGACAGCGAGAACGGTGAGAGGGAGCGCGGGGCAGCGCGGCCCGGGCTGGCTTTGCGGTGGGCAGGGCTCGGGGTCGGCTGTCCTCGTTCAGAATGAAATGCCCGGGTGAAATGGGGAGCCCCTGAGGGCTGGGGGTCGCAGCCCGGCCGGAGGCGTTGGTGAACATCCCTTGCGTTTCCACCAGGACCTGAGCACTGGCATGAGAACTACCCCATGGCCAAAGGACAGAAGCAGTCGCCCATCGAGATCAACAGCAAAGATGTGCGGCACGACTCTTCTCTTGCTTCTTGGTATGCCAGTTACGATCCCGGGGCGGCTAAAACCATCCTGAACAACGGGCGGACCTGCAGGGTTGTCTTTGATGACAGTTTTGATAGATCAGGTCAGCTTCTGTTTTGCCTTTGGGGGGGTGATTAGGAATGAAGGCTCACAAAGCGCTTGGAATCAAAGCATCCCACAACAGCTAGCCCACACAAATGAAGACTTTTGTGTAGGCAAGGGAGGTGGTCCCAGCACTTATTTTGGTGTGTCCTGCCATTTTTATGTTGTGCAAACAGGTTGGGCAAGGGGCTGTAGCTGCACAGATGGCTCTTAGCAGATCTAGTGGGGTAGGCTCTTAGCAGCAGCCAGCATTACTGCTAACTCTTCCCTATGTAACATTCAGCATGGACAGTCCTCAGATGTTGCGTAAGGTGAGAGAATTTCATCCAGAAGTATTTCATGCACTGGCTTAGACACTTTGTAAACAAAAAGCTCATACATTGCCATAGACTTTGACCTTGATTTCTTCTGTTTGGTTCCAACCCTCACAGTCAGGTTGATGATTGCTCTGTTCAGCCATTTCAGATTCTGAGATTTTCAGCGTCCCAGTGTATTTGAGCACTTGGACACTGCGTTTATTCTTTTTCAGAAAGACATCCCATCTATATTCATGTTCTTCTACATGCTTGACATCATCTTCAGTTTCCTCTGGCTATTTTTTCTACTTCTGACAGTATCTTTACTGTTTTACCACTAAATTACAAAAATCAGCCTTTTAATCTGGAACTTCCCTTGGCAAAAGTCACCTATAACATTTTGGTCTGACCAGCTATCCAAAATTGTGGTTTTACTGACTGTTCCAGATAGGAGAAATGGATGTGGTTAAATCACAAATGCAGTTACCATTACCTATAAGAATCTGCAGAGAGGTATTTGCTTGAATGCAAAAGGAAGCAACAATAGCATCTCTTGCTGTTTATGGCCTTTTCTTGTTGCTCTACTCTTTCTGTCACTAATTGTCATTGCACAATGTGTGCAAACACTTCTGTTCCATCTCATGCATACATCCAGTCTGGATGTCGCTGTGGGCAGCCTGGTCTAGTGGTTGGTTGATCATGCCTGTGGCAAGGGGTTGAAACTTGATGACCTTTCTGGCCCTTTCCAACCCATTCTATGGCCATTCAGGCCATTCTGTGATTCTGTGCTGCCTCTTCCTGCATCAAAAGTCCTGAACCCAGAGTTTAGACTTCTCAAGATAGGAAGTTCTTTTAAACCCTTCTCTTCAAATTCAGCCTTTTCAGTCTGTAAAAACTCCAGTGCAAATGTTTTGATTCTAATGCAGTAACAGCTTAACATCAGGGGAGGTTTAACATTGCATATTTTTATATAATATATAAAATGGTGTTTTTGTAATATATGTAAACTGCATGAATGAGAAGAATATAATCTGAAATCAGGTATAACAGTGTTATTTTTCATAAAATAAAGCAGATGAACAGAGCTCAAAGCCTGCAGTGCCTGTTTAAGCAAAATGCCACAGGCATTTGTAGAATTTTTAACAGTGTGAAATGCAGGGCTACGTCTGTATGTTCAAAAGGAAGCAACTGAATGCAGTTAAATGAAATCAGAGTTGTCATCAGACTTCAGTCACCAACAGAGTGCTATGAAAGCATTACTCCTTCTTCAAGTTTGCTGCATGCAAACAATATACCTTTACGAGCACAATCATCTACTTTGAGCAGCAGCTCCAAAACTGTTCAACAAGCTCTGGAAGTGTTCAGATTCTTTTAACTCAGAATTTGACGTTTGATTTGATTCTTTTCCCTGTACTTTGCAGAAGTCTGAAAAGCTATGAAGTGGCATTGTTATTTGATTGAGAGATCAGCCTTGCATCTCTGAAGTTAGACTGTTCAAAGCTAGATTCCAGAGCTGTATTAGTACATAATTCTGAATACAAAACAGACAGCAACAGTCAAAGTGAAATATGAATTCACAGTGCCATATAATTTGAAGACATCTCAAGACAATGCAGTATTGATCAGGCAAGAAGAAAAACAGCCATACTTACGGAAAACAGTTACTTTCTGTTATATTTTTTCTGTGTCAGCTTTGATGGCATTTGTATTGGAAACCTGTTGTTAGTAAGCTATATAATTAATGAAATACATCTGTGGTATTTTGAAAGGTTACAATCACTTGTTGTTTATTCTGATGAGCTCATTGTTTCCTGGACTGTTTCCTCTATTTACCATTACAGCTATCTGCTATTGTTCCACATTTCATGGATAGTATCCAAAATATTTAGGACACTAAACCATCTCTTGGTCATGTATTTTTGCAGTGCTGTAATATTCACTACTGATGTTTCTATACAGAGGCTTCAGGTAAATAATAAATTACGCTTTTGTTATAGATTACTTTTTCATAAAGATTGTATAAAATCAATACCACAGCACAAAGCCTGTGATAAAATAAACTGATTATGAAGCTATTCAGATGATTCTGCTCTGTCTTTGCAGATTCCTAAAAGCGGAAATGTTTAGGAGGCTGTTCAAGGAAGTGTCTGCCCAGGGAACTGTTTTGGAGAAAGTCCCTCATTTGGTCAAGAAGGGCGCAGCCCTTGGTGTAGTCCTTCCTGCCCATCCTGTAAATCGTCTTCCCTCCATTCCCTTCCTTCCCCATTATCTCTGTTCTTTTGGACGCCCAGTTCACACATTCGTTACCTGCTACTTTTACTAACTTTCTGCAGGCTGCTGCAGAAAGTCCTTTCCTGGAGGTTTATCTGCTTGGAATCAAATACAGTGTTTGACAGCTCTAAAGAACCACAGGAAAAGTGATTTCGAAAACACATATTACCTTCTTCTGTTGACTTCCATGATGGCAACAGCTGAGCTCAGTAGGCACAAGTCTATTTTTGTCTTATCTAATGGGAAAATCTTGCATGTTGAAAAGATTTATGTCAGAGATCTGCAGACCATTATGAAGTGCCGCTTCCATGTGCTGCACAGTATCTGAGCTCTGGAACAGGCCATTTGTAAGAAGCCACTGCTAAATAAGTTTTTAACTCTGGTATTGATTTAGCTTGTAAATGTAGGTTGAGCACCCGAATTCAGCTCCTGAAGGAAAATTCCTGCCTTGCATTGATTCCAGTGTATGGCAAGCAAGTACTTTTAAGAATGTGAGCCATGGAATTTAAGTCCTGTTTTTCCTGTGTTCAAAAACGAAGCAAGAAGAATATCTTGTGATATATTACATCTTTCAATGAAGGTTCTCTACAATAATTAGTAAGTTACAAGAATTTATGTATTAACAAACTCAAAATTTAAGAGGAGTATGTGCCTGAAACTCTAAGCAGTGCTTTGTTTCTGCCCTCCGTACTCTGTCATTGGCTGGGACACATGCCAACTAAAAAGAGAAACTGGAAAGTCAAAGCTTTTGGTCCGTGCTTAGCACATCTGTACGTATTCCAACACATATGATATAAAAAATAAATTTGACACCAGTGGATGCAGGAGATTTTAAATATGTTAACTTTGAACTTCAGATCTATTGTTAGAAGTTCAAACTTGAATGCAATTTAAGCAAGGTCTTCTGGCACTGCTGGTGTGAGCAGCATTATCAGCTTTCTGTGTAAGGAAACACATTTAATTCCTGTCTTAGGTAATGAAGGAAAAATACATTTGAGAGCTTATCCTATAAGCAGTCCCTACTCAAAGAAATTCCCAAGCTGAAAGAGCAGATGTGTTTTGAAAGTCAGAGTTTATTGCAATTACTGATATGTGGCAAGCATTATTTGCCTAAGAACATCAGAAAAGGTAGTTTCTTAATTTATTTCTTTGGTGTTTATGTCAATTGCAGACTAAAGGTATTGCTTGCTCAAGAATACTTTTCTAATTCATGTAAGCTCAACTTTCTTCTCATCCCTCACTTAAAAAAAATGGATTATTTTCCTGGAAGCATCCAAATATGCTGTTAACACAGTTTGGAATAACTGAACTTTAAAAGTATGAGGGTCTTACACTGTAGGTATGTTTCACAGCACTTTCGGATTCGATTCAAAGTTCTATCTGAACCATTTTACTACAGGCCATTTTCTTGAAAAGAAACAGCTGTGAATAGCATCTTTCTCCCTCTACATCAGGAACTGTAAGATACTTGCCAGAGGAAAGGGGGTTGTTGGGCAGCTAAGTTTTGATTCTGTGCTTGTTGAATGGCAGCATGTACAGTTCTCAATTCAAATAGCACTCATTCTGAGTTACACAGAACTCAGCTCGCTCTTACACAGTGGTGAGTATTGTGGCTTCTGCTGCGACCAGCTGGATTTACAGGAGGTGCTGCAAACCTGTAAGGTACAGGGTCCCCATTTGGTAAATGTGTGTGTGCCCGTGTTGTAGGCTAGCTCTGATGCAGGTTATCACTTGCAGTGCTGAGAGGTGGGCCGCTCACAGGAGCCTACAGGCTGCGACAGCTGCACTTGCACTGGGGTTCTGCTGATGACCACGGCTCTGAGCATGTTATAGATGGGGTGAAATATGCAGCAGAGGTAGGAGTTACTTTTAATAGTAGTGTTCAGCACTAACTGGGATTCGATCGTGCATCTGAGTGGATTAACAGATTAACCATTCTCCCTTACACAACTATCGTTTTTTTTCTCTAAAATCTGCTTTATTTATAATTTGTCCATGAAACTTATGAATATTTATCGTTGTGCAGTGGTATATGTTGTATCTGACAACAAACCATATCTTTGCACATATGCAAAGATATATGCACATATATACATAACCATTTGATTCACTGAGAAAGAGGTTTTTGGTTTTTTTTTTTTACTTCTGTAGGATGTTTTAAAAATATTTGAGACAAAATGAAACATTATTTCCAAATAAAAAGCTCTTTTTTTTGCTGAATTTTTTTTTTTTTTTTTTTTTTTTTTTTTTTTTGCTGTTAGTAATTTCTACTATAATTCGAAGTACTAAGTTAGTTTCAGGACGCATTACTAATGACCAGAACAACTGGCTAAAAGTACATTTTGATAAGCTGATGTTTAAAATTAGATCTACTTTAAAACTGATCTGGACTGGTAGAGTACCTTCTATTTCCTGAAAACTCTTTAAAAACTCTGTGTCTATTTTCAAGAAATGAAAAGATACTTGGGTTGTTTCTTATAATATATAAACAACCTTGCCACTACTGTCCAAAGTTGCTAAAATTAATGATTGTTTTAGGTCCTGAAGACTTCTTCAGTTAATAAATATGAATGAATTCACTAGTGGTGCTAGTGAATTACAAGCAAGTATTACCTTCTTTGTCCATCTCATCAGAGAATAAGCTAACAATATGTTCACAAAAAAAGACTGCAGTAATGATTTCCTACCGTAAATAACTCATCCTTTAGGTGCAGAGCTTTCAGGGGCTCTGTGCACCAATTATAAGAGTAGGTTCTGGCAGATATTTTACAGGATCAGTGTGCATAGACATTGCTGAGATGACTGTCAGTGCTGTTTGTTGGTGTATTCTCTTGTTCTCTATTCCTCAGCCACAGTCAAACCGCATTAGTATTCAACTTTCTGTGGCTGACTAAACAAGTTCTACTTCCTCGAATTGAGACAAGAGAAGGATGCGTAGGAAGTATAGAAATATTGCCAGAATGTGGCCAAAGATGTATGGCTACTCTACCTTTATCCTTAGCAATTATATCTTTATTCTCAAGGGAAAAGAAACAGCATTACATACTCTTTATTTTGTTGCTATTAGAGAGATAAAATACTGTGCTTAAAGAAAACTGCTAAAGATTTGCGTTCAGGATATGCACCAAAATCTGACTGGTTAGTATGGTATTAAGTTCCAGACATTACTTATTTTGTGATTCCTGAGGCACCAGAGATTTTTCTGGAAGGAGATACAGAACTTGACATGTATGATGAAAGTAGAAATGAGAAAGAAATGCCAAGTTAGAATCTCGATTGCTCTCCATTATGGTGTGCAGAGAGTAGTAAGAGATGCAAAGCAATATCAAATGTACTGGATGGAACCCAGTGCAAATCCTTGAGGTGATGTCTGCATAACCTGAAGGTCTAAAAATCTGCCTGTGTGAAGTGCATGTCAGTTGGTGTTTGGCACACTGCATGTGTGCATGTCACATGCTTGGGTTGAACTGTTTGTAGTTGGATTGAACGATGAATTTTTAAAAGGTATTTCCTTTTCTTTATGCTTCAGTTAAATGCAAAATGATGTTTATAGAAAGTGTGAGCACATGGACACATAGGGAGATACATTTTCATGTCCCTTCCTTTACTTGCTGTGTACTGGAAACTTTTCTTAATATAATGTAAGGTTAATTAATGCAAGACTGCTCTGTTGGCAATTTTTTGCATTTACAACTGAAGTGTTATTGATTTTTAGTTACATCTGGTACACTGGAATCCAAAACACGGTAATTTTGCTGGAGCTTTGAAACAACCTGATGGTGTGGCTGTTGTGGGTGTTTTTCTGAAAGTAAGTGACAAATATTCAGTTTTTGTATATTTTCTGTATTTTCCATCTTTTACTATTATTTTTCCCTGAACTGCATTATTTTACAGGAAAACATTGTAAGTGATACACAGGCTGGTCACGTATGTCCTTGGGCCCTTCAGATTCCGTGCCCTCTGACATTCAGAGCAAACTTCAGATGTCATTCATGACACTAGTGGCACAGTACTGAATGAGGTAGACACAACTTCTTAGGGCACTTGCTGACTTTGTCCCTGATTGCTGCTCAGCTCTGTGCTCTGATTTGTACTGAGTGAGGAGCACCTGTCAGCAAGATTATGTTGATCGATTCACTTCCTTGGTCTCCTGCTGGTCCTTACATGAGTTGGGAGCGCTCCAAAAGACTTGGTAATTGAAAGAATTGATGGTAAAAGGAGTTAATTGAATATTTTAACCTTGACATACAGCAGGTTAATAAGAATAATACAATACAGATGTTTTAAAATTGATTTTGTTTATAAACTTGGAAGGAAGAAGAAGGAAGGAATAGGAAGGAAGGAATTATCTCCTGAATAACCAAATTTTATCTGTTTTTAGAAAAAGGCATGGCAATAAAATCATGTCTTTTGCATACTGTCTTCATTCTTCTCAGATGCAGAGCTACATCAATGCTTTTGGAGGTGTGTAATGTCATGAACATAAGCAATAGAGTGACCCCAGAATAGGTTTTACATCAAATCTGATGTGACTGCAGATGTGCTGTGGAATATTCTGTGTCAGCAGAAAAAACGCAGTACTTCTGCTTTGCATTACAGGTTGGAAAAACTCCTAAACCAGAAATGAAGAGAATTCTTGAAGAAATTGACAAGATAAAGACCAAGGTATCAAAACAATACGTTGTATTATAAAGTAGTTGGAAAGCAACAGAAGCAGAAATTAGAAATTGAGATCCACTCTTTTTTGTGTTCTAGTACCTGACATTAGCACTAGAGGTGATAGATTGGACTTTGAAGTAGGACACTTTATTTTTCTTCAGTAATCATGTAGCTCTTCACTTATGTTATTATTCCTGTTGTTGTAGAGGATGTTTTTCAATCCTTGCAGGTGCTGTTGGTCTAGAATAAATAGATGCATACCTAAGGACAGAAGTATTTATGTACGTAAAACTACAGAAGAGAGTTCTTTACAGAGAAAAATCATCACCAATTCTATTGTTACTTGACATGATTATATGCTATAAACCTAACTCCTAGGTACACAGTGGCATTGTCCTTCATGATAAGCATCGTTATTCCAATGATGCTAAAAAAGAAACTCTTATTTTATCTGATTTTGACTACAACACCAGATCACTAGGACTCAGTTTTACAATGTTTATGCACATTTTCTTCCAAATTTAGAAGAATTTTTTGCCTTTACTTTAAGCATATACATAGTGCCACTGACATGAGGATCGAAGTCTGGAATCTGTTATCTACAAACTCAGTCTTATTAGTTTTAATTTTTCAGTCTTTTCTTAGTCTTCATATAAAATTCATTTCTTTTTCCTGGAGAATAGAGGGTCATTTTTTTTTTTTTTTGCCCTACCCTTTGCTCCTACTTTATCTACAAGATCTGTCTTGATACAGTTTCAGCATCCTCATACAATCCCTATGTCATTTTTTGGCCATTTACATGCAGAAGATTTACATGCCACAGGCGATAAGAAGCACTGTAGCACATAGTGATAACCAGGTGGTAGTGATAAATACTCCCTTACCTTCTGTCCAAGACTGCCTGTCTGGCAGAATTTGTGACTTCTAACTGAAAAACAGATACCCTACAGACATTGTATGTTTTACTTCTGGAAAAAGCAACATTCCAAGAAAAGCAGAGAAAGATGGGTACGTCTACAATCATCCGCATCTTGCGTTTTATTTCTTAAGGTTTTTTTCCTTCTTATAACATATATTTTACCAAGACTATTATCAGGACAGGTTAGTAGATGGTATCATCAGTGTACTTATCAATTGCTACAACACATTACAAGCAGAGGAGTTTCTTGGACACTGTGCTGTATTTACTGAAAAGCACAACTTTTGGGGGGTGAAGTTATTTGCAAACTCATATTGAATTTGTCAGGAAGACACGTTTGGAGTCTTGATGTTATTCCTACTGCCAGTATTTTGTGCAATGATGTGTGGAAAAGATTTCAGCTCCTCTGACTATTTCGTATAATTCTTCACGTCTATCTACAGAAGATTGTCATCACAGAAACAGAAATTAGGAAGAATTGGTTTTGCTTTCTTAAATATCAGCAGAAAACAAAATTTTCTTACTTAGTTCTTGTTCCCCTGCAGGGGAGACAAGAAAATCTGATTATACTGCTGTGGAGATATTCTCCTGAGTATCTGCTTTGGTAGGAAAGAAAAACTTTTTTGAGAAATGTTGTCTGGAATCGTTCTGGTGATATTGATCTGTAGTGGTAAGGAACTCAGGGCCCTGTACCCCTCCAGGGAATATTTCAGTTTTTTACTTTAAGTGTAACAGTGCCAACAAAAAGATTGAGAGCGTTGCCACAACAGTGTAAGTAGAGCATAATTTGGAAAGGAGTAAGATGCAGATTTGAATTCGTAGAGGTGAGGAAGAATGAATGTTGGGTAAATGCTCAGCCACTGTGCTTTTGGATAAAAATGCTCTTACTGGCAGTGCCCCAGTGCTAAAATTTTATAATGTTTATAGAATCATAGAATCGCTCAGGTTGGAAAAGACCTTAAAGATCATCAAGTCCAACCACAACCTAACCATACTACCCTAACTCTAACGACCCTCCACAAAATCATGTCCCTGAACACCACATCTAAATGGTTTTTAAACACATTCAGGGATGGTGACTCAACCACCTCACTGTGGAGCCAATTCCAGTACTTTATAACCCCAAATGAATTTTTTGAGGGTGTAGGTAATAGGAAAATACAATAATTGGATATGTTTTGGTCCTGCACAGTTCAGATTGTAATTTCTCTTTATTTATTTATGAAGTTAAACAGTTGTTAGTAATTTCAGGACTGATACTTGACAAGAAGAAAAGGAGGTTGGTCTCTGTCATTTATCTTTACACTTAATTACTTCCTGTATAACATCATTGCTGGTGTTCTTTTAATATGTATACCCCCAGAGTTACTGCAGAGATTTGTTTTTCCTTTCTGTAAGGGGAAAGAGGCTCCTTTTCAGCACTTTGATCCATCAATTCTTTTCCCTAAATCTCGGGATTACTGGACCTACCATGGCTCATTTACGACACCCCCCTGTGAAGAGTGCATCACCTGGATTCTTTTGAGGGAGCCCATTGAAGTCAGCCCAGACCAGGTAAATTCCAACTAGTTCTGCTAACCCATTTACTAGTTCTCAATAGTCTCAAACCATGTCAGTGTGATGGTTTGTTAGCCATATTACCTTGCGTTTTTTTGACAAGGAAAAGCTGAAGGCTGTGAGAAATGGCCTGCTAAAAGAATTGAGCTGAATCAAACTGTGAAACTGACCTTGAGAATCAGAAGACAGAGAATGCTAAAGAAAAAAAACAAAGTAAACATTTAGAATGAGATTACTCTTTTGCAAGGATGTTGTCTTTTAATTTGAGGCTATTCAGATTTACAGTCTGGATTATTTGTTTGTATTCTGTAAAGGTGGAGTAATGAAGAGGTAGCTGTTGTACTGATCTGACAGATGTATTCAGTCTAGCTAATTTTTTTATTCAACAGATGTGCAAAATGATGTTTGTAAGATGATTTGTAATTCAGGAATCCTGCTATCAGGATTCTAGATTGACCTCAGGAGTTGGCGTGACTATTATGGAAGTAAGACTCAAGTTCCATAGATGCTATTGTGAGAGAGTTTGTGTGCTGAAAATACAAATAACAAAATATTTAAAGCATTGTTGTTTTCTCACCTGGATGCAACATGTTTTACGCTCTTGTACTTTGTGAATAAAATATGTAGTAAGCCTGAAATTTTAGATTAATAATCCATTTGGCATACATTTCTCTGCCCTTCCCCCCAAAAAACAACTTTTGCAGACCAGCTATTGCATCCTCCTTCATCCTGTGCACCCTCCACAAGTGATCTGACTGAAGTTCAATTCCAGTAGGGCCACAAGAAGCCCCTACTCTTGTTTCACATTGTGAGTGTGGCTCAGGACAAAATCCAAAGAATCCCAGGCAAGGATCAAATGATCTGTTGTTCTTCAGGTGTGTGGATGAAGACTGTAAAAATCCACAGAAACCATGGTAGCTGGTGGGCTGCAGAGATCTCTACCAGGGGTCTTTACCAGTAATTTTAGTGACCATATAACAAAATTCCTCTTCTCCTTCAGTTTGTTCTAGGCATCAAGGTGCAGTTTCCAGATGAATTCACATGGATGCTTTCCCTTTTCTTCCTTGCAGATGGCGAGGCTCCGTAGCCTTTCCAAGAATGGTGAGAACGAGCCCATGTGTCCACTGGTTGATAACTGGCGCCCACTTCAGCCTGTGAATGGCAGGATTGTGAGAGCCTCGTTCAAGTAAAGCCCTGTGGAACCCGAGTGAGAAAATCCCTGCATCTTAAAGCATAGTTAGTTTTTGTCCTCTACTGGATAAAGATCTGTGTTTCTCAGCTTAAAATTCTGAGTAGTAAAACTGAATCTGTCTCTTAAATCAGAAAAAATACTCAATGCAAATGCAATTACTAATTTTGTGGAGGAAATGTGAGATACATGTGTTCCTTGACCACAAGTGATTTAGCATTTGTGATAGTGTCACTTCTCTGCCATGTGGTCTTGGAAAAAATGGGCTCGGTATCAATATTTGAAATGGATTTCAAAGGAAATGTCACGGAGGCAAAAAAGTGAACCAGCACTTCAGGAAAGCAGAAGTAGCGGCTGGATCAAACAGTACACGAACAGGTTTTAAAATGCCCACTCCCTACAACATCCATTGTAGAGATCTTCCTCAGATATCCCATCTCCAGTGTGAACATCCAAAGAATAAATTCCTGTTTAACATACCACATTTTTATCTTCCCTCTCTTGTTCACTGTTTGTTACCCAGGAATAGCATTCTCGGAATGCAAGTAGGCATATTCAGCTTTTGCAAGAAGAAAAAAGATACCTTGCTGTTATTATAGCATTTGCTGTCTTTGCCAAGTTCTGCTGCTGCCTATTGATCTTTCCTTGTTTCACTGCTACTGTTAATTCACCCATCCAGCCACAGCACTGCTGTTGTCGTGCTGCTAGGATAGCAATTTTAGGTTTGCTAAGAGGGAAGAGCCTTACTGCTGCTGCTCTGCTAGTATGTGTCCAGACGATGCATTTTTGCCTTTGATGCTCTGCTTTTTGGGTTTTTTTTTTTGGCATCTTAGTTTACATATTAATGATTTCACCCTTTAGGGTCTTTATTGCATATGGAGAGAGTCTTTGCTGATGACTCGTGTCATTTGTCTTCCCTACAACTGAAAAATCACTTAAGTGTTTGTTTACTGTACCTTTGCATGGTTGGAGACGATGTGGAATTTGTTTAGATTGCTCACTTTCTAGGGAGACAGTTCAGATGGCACGTATGAAGCTCCTGGATTCTCTGTCTTCCTCCAACTCATCAATAGGCAGCAGAGAGAGTTTTTCTGGAGATATTGCAACAAACATGTTCACAGCAATTTACATAAGTAATATGTCTGTGTTTGAAATAAAGCAGGGACACAAGTGCTAAAATGAGAATTTCCCAGTTATCCTTCATGACTTCACTTTTCTCCTTTGCTAGAAAAAAAGGTTCTCCAACAGCAAAGCAACAAGTAGGCAACATTGGCCAAATTCGGTTATTACCAGCACAATTCAATGAGAATTCAGGAATGAAACTGAATGTGGAGTTTGATCCTTTGTATTTAGAAATTTTGAATTGCTGAATTCCCATTGAGAATTAATATTTCAGTTTATTAGAAGATTATTAGAAGATAAATAACATTTATTAGAATCTTATTTGCTTAGTATAAAGCAATTTTATTTTAAAAACCAAGCAAGCAGAACTAACATATTGATTGAATCCTGTTTACAAATGTTCTGGCATTTGTCAGGTCAGTTTTTGATTTTAGATGTGCAACACGTGGAACAGCATTAATTCTAAGAAACTCTTAGGTCTTTGAACTGTACATCTCAACACAAAAAATGTTTCTACAGAAAGCTCATAAGCAACTTTCTGTTTTCTACTGCACTGTCTTACATGTAATTTTTTTTTTTTTCACATATCCATATGCAGTTGATCTTAGTGTTCAGAAAATTTCTACACAAATAACTGAGACAAGAATTTGAGCCTTTCTACCTTAAAACCTGTTGACTGTGATGTTTTGATTTCTTGTTATTGGAGCAGTAAAACAGGATTAGTTGTCTGCACTCCAAATAACAGCTTTTGTGTCTTCAGAGAACCAATAAATTGACTTACATAAGAAACTGATTTTTTTTTTTGTTTTATTTCTAATAGTGAATGATGATAGAAAGTAACAAGAACTTACTAGAAAGCCTTGCTACTGTTCTCTTTGATACATATGCTCATATTATAAGGATGGACAGACATTCTAGCAACTACCTTTTCATCTGTTACAACTAGTTTTAATTTCTCAACGTGATTTCTGTAGAACCTATCAATCAGATTCTCAAAAACAGGAGACATGAAGTAGAATGCATTTTACCTCAGAACAAAATCACTTATTCTATGTTTTCAGGTACAAAAAAGTGTTAGTTGTTTTTTTTTTTTTTTCTTGCCTGTACACAAATATTACACAAATATAAGATCATAGATTCATGTATGAATATCAATAACTTGAACTTTAATTGTGCATTCTTGCAAGTATGTTGATCACCAAGCTGAATATTTATATCATTTTGAAAGTTCCTGATTCATTCATACTTTCTGAAGTACACGAAGTAAAACTTCTAAAGTGAAATGATGTCTTAATTGCCCTGGCGCTGTGCAGTTGCTACCCACACATTAGATGACCTTTATTTGCATGTTTCCTCTGCTGCTTTTTGACTGGCAGAATAGATAGAGATGTATCAACTATTGCAAAGCAACTGTGGTTCAAACAGCAAATGTGTTTTTATGTATAGGCACAGAGGAAAACCTGTCTGAAATTTAGACTATTCCTCCTTGCATCTGCTCTTACTCCATTCTTGAATTTATTGCTACTGAAGATTGTCAACATCACTGCAAATGTGCTTTAGACTTTGTCATGTAAAACACACATAGTTTTGTTCCATTACATTTCTTGCATTCATGAACAGTATTGGTACTGATAGCGTCAATAACAAAATAGTAATGTTTTGCTACCTCATCTATTTTAAACAGAGGAAAAAAGCCTCTGGGCACCGATGAGATAAATAAATTGTAAAAATTCTCCTAATCAGTGTGGTGCACTAAATCCTTCATTACTTTTATGCATACAATGCATATATTAGTTTCAGCAGGGCAGGCAAATGATTTAAATAAATTACCATCTCAGGTTTTGACAGACTAAACTCTTGCAGCTTCTCACACATCACATAAGCAAATACTAGAGAATTAGAAGCTTACTCCTACCATTTCAAAGCTTTTTCTTATTGACTGAAGTAATTTCCCACTAGCTGTGATCATTTTTTAGTCAGTTGTTCATAAATGAGCTGTAAATTCCTGCTGTGACCCTAAGTATACAAGCAGTTATGGTTATGTGTTTCTACTGCAAAATGAAAAGAATATAGATTATTTTTACTGAATCTCAAGGAGAGATTCCCACATGTGCTTGCTGCTGTTTATCATCTGAATAATTAGAGTCTAAAAAAGTTAATTTTGTCAGTGAGCCTAGCAAAATAAAATGTTTCTCCCAAAGTCTTTTGTCCACAGCAAGTGAAGCTACACAGTGTGTGTTCCACCTCATCTATCTGCCTTTCTTCTGCATTTATTCAGATCCCTGTAGTGCACATGAAAGCAGATAAACTACCTTCCATGAGGTGAGAGGTTGCACACATTAGTATGAGCTGCACTACAGTGAGTACTTATATATAGGCTTATTCCTTAGCACAGTAATTTGCCTGCTTACATTTCCTGTGAAAAAGAAGTAAGTTATATAATCATTGCAGTACAGGAAAGCCTGTCTACTGTAACTGGTTTGTAGGAATGTTCTTGTGAAGCATCCAGCAATTGCCTCTTATATTGATTCACTGTGTGCTCAAGACTGCAGGACCTACCTCAGAAGTGAGCAACCAAGATGTAGGTGTTGGGAACTGGAAAAAGTAAGGTCTCCTACCTCTCTTTTCCTTAAAAAGCACCACTAAAAAACTCTGAACCCCTGAAGTGAGGCTTATAAGTTAGAAAAACTAATTTTTTTAAAATAAACAAAATGATACCGCAAGTATCTCAAATCAGAACAGTGTCCCTCTTAGGAAGGTATTTTCCTTCATGTTTGCCTTCTGTCCAGGAATGTCTATCTGATACAGTAAGTTGCCATAAATGCCAATCAGCCCCATGTTTCTCCTTTGGAAGCCTCATCCCTTTGTCACACCTGATGCCTTCTGCAGAGCAGGCCACCTGGATGCTGAAGGTCCTTTGGGAGGCTGCCAGCTGCCCTCCACAGATGCTTCCCGTGTCGGGACTCACTGTAAAGCAGTATTATCTCTTCCACCCACAGACAGCATGGATCAGCTGGAGCAAGTAAAATACACAGTCTTTCTGCCTGCAGACAACCCACCAGAAAAGATGCAGGCATTATGTGAAAACAGTCATTACAGCAGTGCTGAAAAACTCAGAAATGAATGCCAATGCTATCAATACAGAAGCAGTTCTGCCTGTGTTACTACCTAGGTCACAGGGAGGACTCTGGGGACCTTGGTACTATTGTACAAAAAAGAAATAACACTTTATATACATCTCACTTCACAGTTGTGTAAGAGAATGGGGTTTTAGCATTAATGCAATATCAAATTTATACTCATATTTTTTATCTATATCTCCTATCTATCATCCTGTAGCCTGTTTTTCTGAGTATATCTCTCTCTGTAGAACTTAATGCTAACAGATAACCTAGAGGAAGACCAAAATATTGCTGTGTTTTCTTACAATACAATGTATTTCCTTATCATCATTATTCAGAAGTCCTTTCAAGTTTTTTTTTTTTTTGTCTAGACTTTCTAATATTTATTTTCCATAGTCCACATGGTGGAGCTAGTTCCTCAACATTCACAATTTCTGATACCACTTGCTAATAACAAGCAACCTGAGTTACAGCACAGTCTAGGCTTGCTCTGCTTCCATAGGAGTAATTAAACAAGCATTGAAGCAAAGGTATTGAACAACAGAGGTATGGCTTATTCCATGCTAGTCCTATAGAAATTGCTGATCATCTGAGCATAGATACCAGACACCCATGGTATCAGATATTTTGAACTTTATTTCCTGCGTAAGTCAGTCTTCATTTCCATCACTCCTGCCTTAGCACTTTCTCAGTGCAGTATCCAAGTGGCTGGTCTTGGTCAAAGCCCTCTGTATGACACTGGAGATCTCCAAAGCCAACACAGAAGTAATAGACTGTCTTCTCATCTAACCTCCTACTGAGCACACGCAGCACACAGACCTGCCCACCCAGGCACACAAGTGCATGTGTGTTCACATCAGAATAAGGAGATGACATCTTGGGCTATATGCTGCTTTTAGTTCACTCTGTGATTTGATTGATTTGAATACAAAACACCAAAGACTGAAAAAGGGCGAAAACACCCTTTACTGAAAAATGATTGTGGCTGAGTTTCCTTTACACCCATTGATTTCAAATACTTTAAGAGTACTAACAACTATAATGAATTCTCTCATCTAAATTCACTGTATATCAAAGGGAAGCCAACTACACCAGCAAGTTTGTATCAGCCTGGTTGTTGGCTGGGCTAGGCAAAGTATCACAAATAGAGCAGAAGAGAGCGATCCTTCCATTCTGATCAGCTTTGAGGAGGCTGTACCTGGAGTGCTGTGTTCAGGCCTGGCTACTGCAGTACAAGAGAGACCTGGATATTCCTAGAAGGAGTCCTGCAGAGGGCTTCCAAGATGACGAAGGTTTTGGTGTACCTCTTCTGTGAGGAAAGCTGGGAGAGCTGGGGCATTCAGCCTGGAGAAGAGGAGGGTCAGGGCGATCTCATCAATGTCCACAAATATCTGAAGGGAGAATTCAAAGAGGACAGAGGCAGGCTTTGTTCAGTTGTGCCCATAGCCAGGACAAACTGGAGCACAGAGGCTCCCTCTGAACACCAGTCAGCACTGCTGTGTTGTGCGGTGCTGGAGCACTGGCACAGGCTGTCCAGAGGCTGAGGGGCCTCCTCTTTGAAGATGATGTCCCTGCTGAGCAGGGATTGGGCCAAATGGCGCAGAGGTCTGTCAACCTCAGCCATTTTATGAGTCTTTGTGATTCTGATGGTAGAGTTAAGAGAAGAAAAAAAGCAATTTCATCACAGTCCCATGTTGCTTCTGTGCCCTATTGGTGATGGTAATATTGGCTGCCTTTAACCATGGTGTTCATTTAGGGACTTTATTTCAGGATTACAATCTTTTGGTGTAATGGCACATAACAGGGACTAGCACTGCATGAATGGAACAGGAAGTTTTCACACTAAATACTTACTGGTATTCCTTGAACTGTTTCAAGAAGAAAAATATTGCTTGAGTCTAAAAGAAATCTGATCAATATCAGATAAATCCGAATCTCTACTCTCCTATAGTTTAAAACCATTTTTCCTTGTCCTATCTCTATCTACCTGGGAGAAAAGTTGAGTTCCTTCCTGAATGTTGTTCAGATGACAAACAAAAGATATTTGGTGAAGGTGGTGAACCTCTGCCATGCTAGCCAACGTTGTACACAAGTACAAGTGTTGCACACAAGTACCTGACAGCCTTGTCATGACAGCCCACAGCTGAGCCACAGTGCTCTTTGCTCAGCAGAGGTGCAGGCAGAGCTTTACACCAGTTTCTCTTTTTCTACAGCAGCAAGGTGGCCTCATACACACCTCTGTTCCCTGGCTGTGGAAGAGGTGACAGAAGGAACAGAATTCAGGTAATTAAAAGTCTGCCAATGGAAGTGAAATGGTTTCTGTGAGGAGAGGGAATGGAGATACAGGTAATAGAGTAACGTGGAGAAATTTGGAAAGGCTAAAGAGAAACAACGGTGCGTGAGAGAGGCTGTCCCAGCCTCACTTTACTCCCCTCACACATATCACACGTCTCCTGTACTTTGCCTTCAACACTGCTTGTAGTGTTTTGAATATCACTGGCTACAGATATCTCTGTCAAATCATCCTCCTACCTCTTTGAGTCATCCTGAGACAAGATCCTGGTTCTCATCCACAGCTCCTTTTGTGGACCTTCACACAATAGGAAATGAGTAACACTACTTGAAGGATTCTCTAGCCAGAGTTTTGCAAAGTATAGCAGTTATTTA